CATGTTCCGCAACAGATCAGGGGAGCCAACCTTCTTTTTTTTCCACTATTTTCACTTCTTTCATTAGTTTCATTAGTTTCATTAGTTTCAATTCCTGTATTTCCTGCATTTCCTGCATTAGTTCGTTCCATCTTGCTTAACTGAACACAGCCACAGACTGTAATAACGTCATTTAAGAAATGTTGAAAAAGAAGTAAATTTCTTCATTTTAATAATTATAACACAAACACATTGTAAATATTTTGTAAAAAATTGTGTATTAATTGTTAACAATTGTTACCCTTATTTATACCAGAACCACTGAAGATGACTGAAACAATAAAGTCGAAACGTTTGGATCATTGACACAATTTTTTTTTATATTTAATGCAAAACACCCTGCAACCGGTTCGATAAGCCCGTTACTCAGAGTTTAATTTCAATATTATTTATTATTTTAGTGTGAAAGCGAATTAATAGACGCGTGCGATTTTCTTGCCGTGCAATAATAAAATCGCCATTGTTTTTTAGTACGTGAGAAGCGGAAGAAAATGATTCAACTAGAAACTATATATTGAGTTACAAATGTCGATAATAATAATTTAATATTATAATTAACCTTAATCCTGTAAACGTCTGTTTTTTAGGTACGTATTCTGTAAACCTGGATATTTATTTGACGCAATATTTTTTATTGATTAAAGCGTTGCAAATCTTCTGTAAAAATTCACAGGGCTTTATTAAACATTCTATATTAAGAAAATAACATTAATTTTGATATATTTTTTTATTTTTTAGAAATCCTTCTTCTGGATAATTAATAAAATTTTCTCATTTTCAAGAATTGCTCGGACATTAATGTCCGGAACTTACAGAATTAGAATTAACTTAAACGAATAATACAATATCTATGGTAATTTCTGTTTTAATACAAAAGAGTTATATAATACAAAAAAGTTTTATTTAGTTACAAATCAATATGTATAAAAACATCTATAGTTGTGAATGTTTACGTTTATACACGTTTATATACGTACAATTTGCAATTGTTTACAATAATTAATAATTAATATAATATTATTTTCTCACATACATATATTATAGAATAGTATAAATATCGCAGAATAAGACGCCCAAATAATTTATATAACACACGAAGTATGATGTAGGAATCATTTGACCCGACGTAGTTTATATATGTCTTATGAATAATGCGATAACATATTGAAGACATCAATATCAAAACACCATGTTATTCACAGATTGTTACAAGCTAATCGCGAGCATTCCTATTTGTTAGCTGACTGCATCGACACCGCATTCGGCAAAATCTAGTGCAGACTGTACTGCAGAGTCGGGCAACATTCTGAAAAATTTAAATATATATGTATATTGTACATATATTGAGATAAAAAAAACAAAACTGCCAGATATTAAATTAAATATACATAGAAAACAAAGCCAATAAGAACCGGATGAAGATGACAGAACGTCAAAATTGTTTTCCTCTTGTATTCTCAACTAATTTATTACATATATGTTATCGTCATTTCACAGCTCAGTTAAGTATAAACTTTATAACTTTCTTCGATTTGTGTACAATTTATTTTATTTTTATTTCATATCATAAATTTATAACTTTAATTTCCGAACTTTACTACTAATTTCAGTCAGCGTGATTAACTGAAATCGAATTGTTCCTGCTTACATCTTTCTTATCTTTATTTTTGTACATATCTTAGAAATTGAGAAACAAGTATAAAGTCAAACTGTACGTAATAAATTAGTACATAATATAGAAAAAAAAAAACAGTTTTGACATACATGTTACTATCCTCTTCGTTTGACCTTTTATTGGCCTTGTTTGTTATAAGTACATTGTGACGGACACGAAAAGTGTCACTTATTTTATTATAACAAATGCGCAAGTTAGCTACCTTCCTATTACAGTCAAAGACAGCCAGTATGAAGGCACAGTTTTTTCTCGATGATCTGTTCTCTGAGCACGAATTATTTGTGAAGCTGCTTCTCCCGGTGAAACCAACGGCACGGCATTCGGGAACCTGTTGAACAATTAATGTACTTATCACTAATAATAAAAACAAAAGTAAGAGTTGATTAGCTTTCAAGCGTTACTATAGATTTGCTAATAAATTATATATATAGTCGAACTTTTGGTACATCTTAATATCAGAATAGAAATCTGCGTGTAATTTTGCAAATTATTAATTTTTAAATAAGTTATTTATATATTATTGTTTTCTTGTATTTTTAAGTACGATTATATCTGGGAAAACACACGAAAAAAAAGATTTGCTAGAAATAGCATTACTAATAACATTAGTTGCTATATGACCAGCAAAAAAAAAACATTTGCTAAGTTTATTAAGAGTTTTGTTTTGCCAACGAAACATTTTGTTGATAAAACAAAAAGTTCCAAAACTTTACACTCAACAATTTTTTTCGCTGATCATGTAATAGCAAAACTTTTTTTTCCGTGCGCAACAGCTTACCTCGCATCCAAAAATCTAGCCTGCGTGTAACAACGTAAGTATGTCAAAAATACACACATCAAATTATCTCACTATACAATTAGTGTTGTACATATCTACTACATATACGTGTGTCCATTTAATTAGTTGATTCTAATATATAGGTGTCTCTATCATTGTGACTTGTGTCTGTTGCGAAACGTCTAATTGTGTGAATTAGTACTTTATATACGTAATGCCACGCGATATGTGGGTGTATCTACTTTATAATGATCCCTCAATCAAACAACGTGTAATTTTATCTTACAAATTTTTAGACGTTCTCAATAGATTTGCAAAACGCTCACCTTATTTTCGGCTTTTTGCATAATCCAGTGTCTACCATGTACGGATAAATAGTAGTAAATTTGATCAAAGACTTTCCTTTCGTAGCTGTCCGTAGTTCCTCGGAAATGGACTCCATAAGTCCTAATTTGGGTTAACAAGTTAAAAACATAAAGCTTTGTTTCAATTAAATTTTTTCGCGTATCTATTTGATGTAAATGAGTACGATATTTCACCTCTAACTGCGAACTTCGAAGCGCAATAAGGAACCAGATTTGGAATACCACTAAGTCCTGCCAGGGACGAGAGAGCAACAATATGGCCGTGATTTTTTTCAATCATGCTTGGCAGGAATGCTTGCAGCATCTGAAAATATAATATTGAGAAGTTACAACTATGATACAAATATGATACTCATGCTTAAAAAAGCTATAATATTGTACATTGATTAAAAAGGTTTTTAATATTGCATAAATTAACTAGTTTCTCTCTCATAGAAGCTTCTAACTTACCCAAAAGTGAGCTAACACATTAATGTCAAAGATTTTTCTTATTTCGTCGTTTGTGTGATCGAGAAAAGCGTGACAAGGCATTATGCCGGCATTGTTAACTAAGATAGTGACATCACCGATTTCCTTTTTGACTCTCTCAGCGACGCTAAGAACCTGCTCTCTGTTCGATACGTCGCACCTATGCATAAAAAATATTGTTAGATCTTCATCTCTCTCTCTCTCTCGCACGTGTATCAATTAATGTCGAGTTCTGCCACAAACGTACTGATACGCATATGCCGCGGCTGCTTCCGTTTTCTTGATCTCGTTCACCGTCTCCTCGTTTGCCTCTTGATTCAAATCCCAACACACCACTGTTGCACCCAAAGATGCATAACGAAGTGCCAACTCCTTCCCGATACCATGACCTGTGCCTGTTATCTGTAAAATTACAATAAAACATAAATAAATAATCTTTATTAATTAAGAAAGACTTCGTACATGACTCTAGATTCTAAAAAAAAAAAATTAATTAAAGAGAAAAGGCCAAAAGGAGACCATGCACTGGTGATGGTGTGTTTTATATTATTTATTAAAATAATTCAAATGTTTGCAACATTGTGAGACCTGGCTTAGATCTTTATCAAGCGCTACTACAAATGATGAATATTACGTACAATAGAATGATATTGCAAACATTGTAATACTTATCATTTGACCAAAGATCGAAACGTTACAAGCATTCGAATCATCTCTTAAATTGAAGATCAGATCTTTATTGTGTAAAGTCCGATAGAAATAATCTTTAACTGATTTACAAAAACATCAACAGCAAGATAAAGACGTTTTAAATCAATCTTTAACGCAAAAGTAGTCACCTAAAGTAGAGTTTTTTACACAATAGAAAAATAAAGCTCACAGTTTAATGTTCTTTTTTTGTTTGTTTTTTATTTTTTTGGATCTCTTCTATATTTTTTTCAGAAACTATTAATTAAACTTAAATCCATATAACGTCTTTAAATATTAATAAATTATAAAACAATCAATAATATTTACAATACATGGTGAATAACATTGACTTTAATGGGAATATAAAAATTCTATCCTAGATAGAATCGTTTATGCAAAAACATGGCGCGACTAATCTCGGATAAATAATACTATTACAATAATCCTAAGATTAATGTTTCTCGATCTAGTTGATCGAGGAAAGTGTAAGATAAAATATATAATCGACATAAATATAAATGTTTCAAATCAGATAACCTACGAGACTATCTAATAAAAAACTTACAATAAAAAACTTTTGCGTTTAAAACAAATATGATAATTGTGTTACGTCATGAATAAAAAAAACATGCTGCAATCTTCATCTTGCTCTTAACGTTTTTAATAACAAATGTGTTACATAAACTGAATGTGGTATGTTTTATGTGATTATTACTATGTAAATAATACGTTACATTATTAGAACACGATGACTTTGTTACATACTAGAACTATTTCACCCGCCACGCTTTTTTCCTCAGCCGGAACAAAGAATCTGTACACGCTCTCACAGATGTAATAGAGGATCTTCAAAATAAGTAGCAAGACGTCTGCTAAGACTAAGGCTCCGTTATATGCTTTTACCATAGTTGTTTGATACGCCGGCCTATAAAATGATCAAAAACTTTTAACATCAGCACATCAGATTAAAAAATTTATATTTCTATATTCTCTTATTGATAAGTTTTCGTCGATGAAGCATACTTGTAAAAAATAGTAGACACTTTTTTAGATTCAACAATGGAACATCAGCAAACTCGAATCAAAATACATGTTTGTCACAAACTATAAGAAATTAATGCAGTTTACCGTTTCGAACAAAAAAGAAAGTGTAAATAAATGCTTTATTTCAATGACACGTATGTGTCAATAAATTTATATCAATAAATATTAAAGTATGTCTTAAGTAATATTATGTTTTACTATTAGAAGAATGATTTAATATTTTGTGTGTCTGATCGAACAACTTGTCACTTAAAGATCAATCAAATTATTTGTCTCAATCACTTGAAGACTAATAAGATATAAAAGATACAACTAAAATCGTCTTATTTATTGTAAATGTAAGTATCGTGTTATTACTAATTTTTTCTGGATTGATACCCAGATAGCATAAGATGTTCTATAAACGTTTGTTCTATGTTCATTTTACGGTCGCACGTCCGCGGACATGAATTAGACGTCCATCGTATGTCCGATAACAATGATACACATAAATGTGTATACATATTGTCATATTTCATTTGCTATATATATATATTAAGAATTGACTATAATAATCAGTATATGTTAACAAAAAATTTGTTCGCGTTGTAAACATTTGTTTTAATATATATATATATATATATCAAATGAAATATGACAATATGTATACACATTTATGTGTATCATTGTTATTATATAATAATTATTATTGTATAGTAAAAATGTTATACACACAAAGTGTTTTTTGTTGATATAATACATTTAAAAAACAGAGCGTTTATGTTTCAAACAAAAATTGTAAAATTTTTGCAACAATGTAGCAAAAGATATATGTATCATATTATATCGTCACTCCCTACGTATAATCCCGTAACTCCAAAACGCAAATTTTAGAGGAAAGCAGTTTAAAAGTTTAAAGTTTATTCATATAGTTTCTCTAGTTAAGGGATATTTTGGTTTTAAATTTTTACCTTACTTATGAATGTTTTTTTTTAATATTTGGTGACCATAAAGAACATGACTTTCTAAGTGTCACTATGCAATAAACTGAAAATCCCGTATGTGACACTTATGTAATTATACGCAGAGAGTGACGATATATAAGTAAGATACAATTCGAGGTATGTAACTTGTCAAATAGTAAATGACATTTCTAATGTTCATAAGATATAATAAAAACATATTTGATATATAATCTGCTACTTGGGATGCAATATTACTGTAATATTTCAGTATTATATATATATAAATGTAGTTTATATATCGATAATATATTACTGTAATATTGTATTATAATATCCAATATTACTAAAATATTGCAATATTACTGAGATATTTATTACGCGTAATATCACGTGCTATGTGGGTATCGCATCATTTTATCTTTATAGTTCATTTGACAAAAACAAAGATGCGATAACGCTGATAGCACGCTTCTCGCTCATTCTTATTTCACGATCGTACATGTAATAAATAAATAAAGAATTTCTTTTGTTACAATATATCTGTCATTCATAATTAGTCAACATATATATACAATTACTTCTTTTAATATATAACACTTTTTAAAAATGTGTAAGAGTCACTTAATAATTTGTATAAATTTGTAGAAATATAAAAATAAGATAATTAACTGCAGATGGGCTGAAGATCAAATATCTTATGGACGTTCAAATATTTGTCATTAAAGGACGTCCGAAATCGAAGATACACATAAATCACGACAGAACTCAAACCCGCCTGATAAGATTATTAATTTCACGCTCCATTAAATATTGTTTAGCGAAGTGACATATGTATGTAGCTGCATTACCTACTTTAAATTTGTTTTTAATTTTTTTAAGTAGGGTTTACAAATTAGGGGAGAACGAGGAACGGTGCTCAGTGAGTCGGAGATTGATCATCTTATTTACAAGAAAGAATATCTCTGAACATGTATTTGGCAATATATTGGGTTTTTTAACACAAATATACCTGAATATATGTCAAATACATGATTAGAGATATTAATATGTTTTTAAAACATCATTGTGCTATCTAGGATGATGCGTTTAACTGTTTGTCTTGTAACACATATATTATATTAAGTATGATTTTATAACGCACGGTATAAAATAAATTACTCTTATATACAATTATGAAATGACGTACTACGCAATATATACACAAAATATAATATTTACATATTAAGATACGAAACATACAAAAATATTGTTTGCATTAAACATTTAGATTGGTAGAGTTTAAATTGTATTTATGTAGGTTATAATTAAGTATTAATATGTGGAATTCAAGGCGAATGAGAGCCAGTATACAGGTTGTAGGTGTATTTTTTTTTATTCAATTAATTAGTACAATTCTATCATCAAACGTTTCGATCTACAATTGAGATCTTCTTCGGTGATAAACTGGAATGACAAAAATTTACAAAATAATTCAAAAGAAATTACATATTTAAACGCCAGCGGATAATTGTTGTTATAAAATTATATGATAAAGATTACCAAGGAAGGAAGCGGTAAAAAAGTTGACAACAGTAGATATGAAGTGTAATTAGTCACAAAGACAGAAAAATAAAAATCACTAACAAGTTAAGAATAAACAAGTTAATTATTACCTCGTTAAAACAGTAAAATAAATAAAAATGAAATTGACTTATAAAATTGTGTTCGTTTGTAGAGTCTAAGTGACACCTCACAGTACAAACAACAAACGAAAACTGTCGTCAACAAGAGGAATAACGTGAAATAAATAAAGTTTCTCCCTTCAAGGAGCAACGTGTTCAAAACAACAAACAATTAAATCGAGACGTTGGAGACGTACACCTTATGCTACCTCTAGACTATGCGCGTATTCGTGATTCGTGTTGATTCGTGATTCGCGATTATACAAACACACTTTTTGCGTGTATTCGCGTGACTACTACGTAGCTACGTAGCGCATCGCTACGAATCGCGAATCACGAATCACAAATACATGCATAGTCTATTCCCAGCATTAAGAAGTAGGAAATATGGTTTTAATCTATCAGTATCAGTCATATTAATATATTAATTGGATTTTTTGGAGTTCAATGTATATCATTTTTGAAACCAGTCGTTTAAAGTAAAATTGTTCGCGGTCTAGAATTTTAGTTTTTTGTCAATTAAAGTTATGGCCCATTAAACGATGCTCCGTGATGACTGAAAGATTGTTCGCATTTCTATTAATTTAATTTTTGTGTTCGCTAATTCTTGTGTTTAATTTTCTTCTTGTTTGACCTGTATAAGTGACGCTGCAATCCTCACATTCAATACAGTAAACAATATCCCTATTCTAGTCAAGTTCTAACGGATCTTTAAGAACTTTGATAAAATTGTTTAATTTGTTAAAATCACGGTACGCGTCAAAAAATTCTTTCTTTTTAAAAATAGTGTACGTATGTTTGGATATACTTTGTACGTATGGAAGGAGAAAAAAATTAACAATTGCAATCACAGGATCAATATTTGATTTGTCATAGATGGAATTGATTTGTTGAGAGGCTTAAAATTTGATTCTATTACGCATGACCTTGAAAATAAAAGATAACGGATAGCAGTTTGAAATTAAGGTGTTAATAATAAAATTCAGTACATGACGATGTCTCAATAACAACTTATCTCACATTGTAGTTATTGTACCGAGTTGGACTGTCTTTTCATTTAAGAATATCTACTGAAGATAACTTGGTAATAAAGTCGAAACGTTTAGAAAAACTTTACAAGTAATTAGCAACAACCACTTCTACATAACAACCCACTTCTTGTTCGAATTGCTCACTTCATACATATGATTAAAATAAAATTCAAGTTCTTCAAATGGAAAGAAGAGTGGGAAAGAATAATTGCTCTATCGAACATGTCAATAGTGGTTTGAATTTTTTGTAAAATAGGATGGTTGGAATAAAAATTCAAGTATCTGCCTGAAAAGGTTGGCTTATGGTACGAATAAAAAACGATTAAACTTAGAATTAATGATTGTCAAGTCCAAAAAATTTAAAGCGTCGTTAGATAGTTTTTCTAATGTAAATTGTAACCTTGGATGATATTTGTTGAAAGCGTCTAATGTGGCAATTGTTCAACTAGAGCTGTTAAAATTATGTCGTCGACATAACGATAATAGAATAATGGTTTGAATTTCAATTTTCTCAAAACTGATTTTTTGTTTTTTTTGTTTTTTACACCTACAACCTGTTTACTGGCTCTCATTCGCCTTGAATTCCACATTTGATTTCTCAAGAACCTTTATCTCATATTAAGTATTAATATATATTTAAATTATATTTAAATATAGTAATCTATATTTTTTTAAACTACAGTTAGTAATATATTTTTGATGAGAGTGTACATGGTAAAAGTTTATGTAACATGGTATATACTCCGAGAGTACAATAAGTTTGAGGAAACAAAAACAAAGATTGCTTACGCGATCTGATCGCTATAAATGCAAGGCCACGCAAAAGCGTCACGTTTTATCGATAAAAAAAATGCAAAAGTCTGCATCAAAATCTTGAAATATGAATACTAAACATGTTCCAAGTTTAATATATTATTAAAATATAGAATAGCTATTCTCAAATTGGATATGCATTTCTTATATATTTTTGACAACAAAAAATATATTTATACTTTTATTTAAAGAATATTTGGCACACGCACGTTCATTAATATATAAAGTAAGCAAAGTAAAAATATTTAATTGGTACATTTAATATTATAAATTTTTTTCTTTTTTTTTTAAACACAAATTTTATTTGTGTTTGTGGTCATAATATAATACGCGTGAAGATCGTTCGTTAAAATGATAAACTTTTACAGTTCGTTAAAATGATAAACTTTTACAGTTTTTTGTTTAGTATTCACATTGTGAAACATTATGAACGTACACGTTTAACATCTATAAAAATATACATATATTTTTATGTTTATTGCTTACAATATTGTTACATATATATCCGTTATCTGTTTTCAATATACATTTTTTAAGCATTGCAATATTGTATGCTGTTCAAGTCACGTAATTTCAATGCCTGCTGTTTCGTAAAAAAGACATTCTTTATTAATTATTTTTTCAGATAATTATCATACTTCTCGAGTCAAGTTCGTCAAAAACGCTCTTGACATGTTGTGTTCCTTGAGTTTGCGAGAATGTATCTCAAGGTGATGATGGACGTAACAAAAAATCGTAGTATACTTATTTCTTGCCATTTTAAAAGGCCAAGGTTATTTAGAGATTACTTAAAAACATCCATAAACATAGTTTTTCCTCATGTTATAAAATGTTACATAATAAATAAACTGTTGACTATTCAAAATGTATATCACTGTCTTTTAAATATACAAATAGTTCGTATACATTTGTTTAATATAAGAAAGACATTATTTTCGAAAACATCCAAAACAGAATATCCTTGGATTTATAATGATTAAATTAATGCAACATAAAAATTCGACAAATATAAAACGACTACAAAATCTAGACGCGATATTAAAATATAAGAATAACCAATTTGTATTCAAAACGTTTCAACTTTAAAAGCCTCTTTCAAACACAGATTTTCTCGATAAGTTTTGAAGAAAATATAATAATATTTTGAATTTTATCTTTTGATTATAAAATATCTGTATAACGCGTTTATCTCTTTTTTTCTCTTTGTTGTTTATTTGTTTCTGTGTATGTTTGGATTTTCAATAATTATGACGGTTTCAATTAATTTCGACAATAAGTTCTCTTTTAAGTAAATGTTCTCTTTTGTAGTTTAAAATATCGTTTTTTAATGAGACAAATAAGTTTTCAATCATTAATTTTATTACGTGATTTAATCTTTATTTAATTTTTACGTTGACTCACTTGTTAAGAAGTTTTATTTCTGAAATTTTTCACTTTTCTATCACATGTTTTTATGGTGAGTGAAATTTCGAACGAGTTTTGCAATATTGTAATTTTTATTTATTTAAGTTTTGTTCTCCACTTATTTACTTATTTTCTTGTCTCTTTTTGTATTCGTTCTTTGGAGAAAAACGTGTATTAATTTGACATGATATAAATTTGTCTTTTACTGTAAAAATGATTCTATTCAAGATAATTCGAAACATCAAATTATTATAAATAGAGTACGTAATCATTAATGTCTGTGTATCGAGGCTTATATTGACTTTATTGTTTCTATCATTTTGGAATATGTTAAATCTTTTGAACCTATACACTTCTTCATATTATTAACACTTTGCGAAAAAATGACGAGATACCTTGTCATAAGGTAAGATTTCTGGTCCGCATGTGTTAAACTGAAACTATTGTTTACTGCGCATAGATTAAAAACCTTTACATAGAACTTTTTATTCGATAAAGGAGCATTATCGGATTATTTTTGTTTAACTTTTTGAATTATTTTTACACTAATAACATTTCTCTTGAACATGTGCAATTGTACGTGTTAATCTTTGGTTCTACTCTTTCAAGATACAAAATTCAAAGTTCGCTATACACATTTTTCTAAACAAAAGCATGCTCATATCTTTTCTCATTAAAATATTTTTGCTTAAAAATAAAGTTTAAAAACAAAGTTTAAAAAACTGACTTATTAATTGTTTTTAGTAACATTCAACATGTCATAAATGTATTTGTTTGTGACAAATACATCAAAATTACAAATATATATTACAAAATAACTTGTTTATATTTTAAATAAAAATAGATATACAGATTATATATATTATTTTACATTCGATATTACTTACTTCTATTATCAACGAACACACACCTTCTTTGCAAACAGAACGAACTTCCTCGAGACACGAACCACCACCGCTCGCGTACGAATCGCGACTAACCGCGCGCGTCTGTGGCGGGTATTATAGTACTACGTATAGAACTTCTCTAACCACTACAACCGTGAATCTTCCAACGATGCGCGAATACAAGAAGTGGTCGGCACAACCTACAAGAGTGTGTGGATCATCTTCATCGTCCGGCTATAAGACGATTGTAACTCTGTTGATAGAGGCGGAAACGACGCGGCCGGAACGACTTTTAAAGCGCATTCTTGAGTGATACAACTATGTTCTATTCTACACGTGTATTGTGATGTGTATTTGTGATATTTAAAAAAAAAAAAAATAAAAAAAAATCACAATATTAATCACAGAATTAACGCGCGAGTTTCTGTGCGGTTCGACGCTACGAAATACATTGTGAGCAAGGCACGTTATAATTAGAAATGTGTTGCGCTAAAATTACGTGTTACTGTTTTTATGATTCTTTTTGATAATATTATATTATCATTATTGTTCGTATAAGTGATATATTTACATTCATTACTGCTGATTTTCTTCAATTATTTGACTCATTCGCTCTTTTTTTCTCATTATTGTATTCTAATATTTTAAGTTTAAAAACAGATCTTTTCTGTTACATTCGAATTCTTTACGCGTGAATCTTGATTTGTTTCTTTTTATAAGTGATCTAAATTTAAAAGACTACATTGATTATGTGCACAAATATCAATATTTTTTCTATATTAGTTACGACCGATTAATTACTTGATGTATTTTGAATCGGAATTGCGCAAAGAAAAAGACCTTAGCTTGCAGCCCGTAACAATCCGCACTTCCGTCAACGATTCGCAGCAGAGTTACGTTCAATGTGGAATTACAAGAAAGTTTATTACAGTCGCGTACAGCATTGCACATGCGAGAACAAAGGAAACCGAAAGTTGGAAGTTGTTTTCTCGAATATCTCCAATGTTTGACTTGTTTGTTTGACTTTGAGCACAAAATATTAAGAATGGAAGTAAATATTAAATAAGAAATTTGAATTATTTCTTTACAAAACAAAAAAATAGAATAAATTAATGTATTATAAATTAAAAAATGAAAATTTGGAATAATTAATAAAATAAAAATTTGGAATAACCATTCAGTGCCAGACATAAAAAATGACCTACGAGTTGTCCAGATTGGGTCTGTGAGATCTATGCGACTTTAAGTTTATAGATAAGAATATCTCCGCGCAGAAACGTTTGTAACGTTTCTGCGCGCTATGATCTAATAAATCGCTACAAATGTACATATATTTTGATAAAATTATAAAAAAAACAACGAGTTTTTAATATATTAGAAGTGCACAAACCAAAAAAAAATTTACTTACTTTTCAAAATGTTAATATCTTGTCCAGATTTGGGTCTCTCAGATCCTTTTCGCACTTAAAAATTCCAACTTTTCAAGGTTATTAAACGAAGGAAAACGAGTTCTATTCTATTGTGCACAGTTTTTTTTTCATGGCCTTTAGATGTCGCGCTAAATTAATACGTAATAGAGAAACCAGTTTAAAACATTTGAGTGAGTTTCGGAAACCCATATCATTCAAGGAATCTATAATCCACTCCGTTCTCGCGTTTAATGTGACATTATTTCAAATTTCTTTCTCAAATATTTAATATTTATTCATATTTCTAATATTTTCTCTATTACATATCTCTAATATTTTCTCTATTATATTCTCAGAGCCTTACAGAACACAATATTTTAAATCAGTTTATAAACAACTGTAAGTCTTGCACTACAGACAAGATTTTTTGCAACTTATACCGGTAGTTTTCATTCTTTATAGATGATAAAGCATAAATAATAAAGTATTGAAAAAGAGAGATAAAGCATAGATATAATACAGTATAAAAACAACACTTGAGATTTTCTCTTTAGTAAAATTTCCTTATAGTAAACAATTGTAAACTTAATTTTATTTTAAACTTAATTATTATTAAGATTCGAGAATGCATAATTAATTATTATCAAGAACACTAACACTACAACTTTTGTATCGCCGTACACGCGCGCCCGCTCACGAACATACAAAATTGTGTGTACTAATTTTCCGATATAATAAATTTTTCTGATAAAAAATTTTAATCAAAATTTTAGTAAAACTATTTAATAATATAAATCATGACTGTATATGATTACATATATTAGATATATTATGTATTATCTATTTGTATGAAAAAAATTTGTATCTATTGCAAGTATATATCTAAATATTTGTTATTATTGATAAGATCTTAATTTTAACTCTAATTCTGTAAATGTTTGTTTTAGATACGTATCTTGTAAACCCTGGACATTTATGTGTGATTGTTTTATTGCTTAAAATGTTGCACAAATTTTGTAAACAGTTACGGGGTTTTCAACATTCTATATTAAAAAAAATAACATTAGTTTTAATATACGGTTTTAGTTTTTAGAAATTTTCTACTAAATAGTTAATAAGATATCTTATTTTCAAGAATCGCTCTGGCTCGGAGGTTTACAAGACTAGGGTTAGACTAAGGTTAAAGATGTAACCTGATTACGAAAGCATTTGTAAGTATTACTAGACATATTATACTTTTATGACTTAGAAAAACACGTATTGTGATACAAAATTGTGTAGCCTAGAACCTGACGAGTCATCTTATTGACTTCAAGGAAAAATCAGTAACAATAATTGTTGTTACATACATACATATATTATATGAAAAGAAGACAAAAAGTATCACTTTGAAAATAACATCTTGAAGATATAAACGTGTGTGTTAATAAGTGTGTGATACACGAGTTGGTTTTTTCATACATATATCTAACAAGAATCATTTCCTCATGACAGTCATGTTTATAACATTATTATTTATCGTCATAAGAAATAAATCTAAAAAAAAATAAAAAACAATATGATCAATTCGTAGGTCATCTATTAACATATATATGTATAGGAAAAGAGAAATAAATAACTTTTTTCTTCTTGAAGATCATAGATAAAAACAGTTTTCAAGTTTAGACATCTTTACAACATGTAGTACATATACTTGAAATTAATGTCAGAAAGTGAAACAACTATCTAAAAAAATGTCTAAAAAGCGACTACTTCCTACACGTGCAGATGTTAACGCAAGATCAATCTGTGTATAATACTGACTCGTTAACTAACTCTAACGCTAATCTAATCTAACATATTTTGAAATTATAAATAAGTTTTTATCTAAATATATAAAAATTAAGCAATTAGATAAAAAGAAACAACCGTAAGCGCGCAAAATGCTAGAATATCTCCTCACGTGGACGGCACGTATTCGCAGATTCTTATAAATAATTAATTAATTACTGCAAAATTTGCAAATTAGTAAAAAACTTTTCGACTCGGCACAATCCGCTCTACCTGACTACGAGAAATAATATGGTTATATTCGGACATTCTGTATAAATTTTTATTAGACTTTTATTATTATATTAATATTAATATTAGTTCTCTCTTTTTTTTCTCTCTTTACTTGCTATATATTTAATAAAACGATAGGAAGAAAACACTAACGAGCTACATCTGATGTTCGGGTAAAATTCTTCTTTAATCCGAAAATGTAAAAAAGATACAAACGTTTTGATCCACTATAGGATCTTCTTCAGTGTTTCTACATAAAAAAATTACAAAAAATGCATGATCTATTTGCAACAATGTCACGCTATAATTAAATTTAAGTAAAGTAAATACTTACATATTTGACAAAGTGATATTGTACGAGTTGATTTAGCGAGTTTCCGTCTCACAAAATCATACACTTCAGTACATTGATTTACACGAATGTTATATTTGTTGTATTATTGCAGAGACTTATCTGTGCGGTGTTATCACTCCTTTTTTACGTGGCTAAAGGCCATGATAAACGTTATTTTTAAATTTGTTTTTTGATAAAATGCGCAATCTACTGCGTATCAGAAATTATCATTTATTTGAGATTTTCATATATAAACCAAAATTAAGTAACGCACAGTTTATATGCGCATACATCGCATATCTTGTTACTTAACGCACACTTAAGGTTAAAAAACTTAATACATTTTACATATACTTAAAAAATTTAATATATTTACATTTAACATATTTATTAAATTTAATTAATATGTTTAATTAATACATATGAATTGTGTTAATATACGTAACTCACTTATTTATATTTAATATATTTTTTATGATAAACATATATATATATATAGTTATCGCATTTATGTAGAAATACATTATACTAATGTAAAAGATCAAGTAATTTATCATCATGGCAGTTCTCGCTTTCGATAGTCAATCAATCGATAGAATTAATTATTTTGCCTAGTTTTGATTTGTTATATGTACAAGTTCTCTCTCTCTCTCTCTCTCTCTATATATATATATATATATATATATATATATATATATAACTGGCTATTATTATACCACAATTAACTAGATGTATTATAATTTAAGAGAGAGAGAGAGAATTTAATATATTTTAAATATTTCAGAGAACCATATATAAATGTGGTGATTATACTAAATAATATACTAAAAGCTAAATAATATACTAAATAATTAAGTAGTTTTTTTTTCGTGGCAGTTCTTGTTTTCGATAGTTACTTAATCAACAAAAAAAATTAATTAGTTTGCCTGTTTTTTGTGTGTTAAAAGCTTTATAATTGGCTATTATTTATCACGATTAATTGGACGTATTCCCGGTAAAAAATTTTTCATATATACTTATACACAAATTACAATAATTATATCTAATTATGCAAATTTATATGTGTGCCGAATATGTCCATACAATTTTATAAACGGAGAATTTCTTTTTTTAAGAGAATGGCTTCAGAGATATTCCATATCAAATTACAAAATAACTCTATTAGTATCATGTTAGATACAAAAAAAGTATATAAAACTATATGTTTATTATATTTTAAAAAAATTTTTGATATATAATCATATATACTTATACACAAATTAAACTTATTATCTAATTATGCAAATTTATATACCGAATATGTCCATACAATTTTATACATGGAAAATTTTTTACCGGGTTATGATTTGACTAAATATATGGGAGA